CTGAATGTTTATTTGACTGACTTTCTGACTATCTCAATGTCTGTCTAACAGTCTGAATGTTTGTGTGTCCGTCTGCTGTTATTGTTATCCTATACAGCTATATTTTCACCTAACACTCAATGTCCTTGATGACTGATATCAGACAAAAGATAGCATGCGAGTAAGCCTTAATTATTATCCAACAGCACAAAGTAGAGTACAAATAACGCGCGAATAGAGTACAAATATACTGCCACATTGTACGGTTATTTGGACAGTTGGTTATTGTGTACTGTGTAAAAACCTGTTTAACGGGTTGGCTGCGCGCGTAACACTTCTCTATCCGCTTTGCTTTCCCCCCCTTAGGAGAAATGAGCAGAAAGACTTGGCAGAAAAAAAGCAGTTAGATAATAAATAACTTGTTAGGCGTTTTGGTGTGTAGTATCACTGAGTATTGTTACCCATTGTTTGTGATTTGACTCGCCTTACGGGCTTATCAAAAATACTCAGCGATACTACACGCAAAATTACTCTGTGATACTACACACCAAAACGTCTGATGAAATATATTTATTGGCGCTTAAGTACAAGCGTTTCTTTGCTTGCGTGAAGAATTGGAAATTGCTTACCATTTGTATTACAGTGCATTAGTATTATAATTAATTACAACACTAAAGTATAACTAGTTACCACGATACAAAAACTCATTAATTGGCCAACGGATTTTAAAGAAATATGTTAGTTTTACTGTGTTCGCGAGAAGAATTAAATTTGCCCTTTTATCAAACTCTTTGCAAGATAAAAGGTAAACTTAGTTTGAAAACAGTGAATTCCACAAGGATTATAAATTATTAGAGAACAGGGTTTAATACTCATTTCTCCATAGACCTAGAATGTCAAAATTATAATTATACGTTTCATAAGTGACTGATGTGCAGAGCGAGTGGAACATTAGGCTACAAATTAACAAAACGAATCCTATGCTTCTCACAGGCTGGTACTTCAACGTGAATTAGTCATAAAAAACGACTAAAGGAAAAGAAAATGTTTTAATGTAGTTCTTCTCCATTTTAGGGGCAATTTATTTGGTAGTGAATGTCAGAGATAAACGGAAAAAATCATCTAAATTTCCTTATTGTCTTAAATGCAACTAAGATTTTGAAACTATTAATTAAATCAATAGTGATTTGGTAAAACTTTTTACAGTAAAAATCAACGGTAAAACAGGACGTTTCGACCAAACTTCGGTCATTTTCAAGTGAATGGTAAGAATGTAACGATGAATATATCTATGCGTGTAAGAAATAGAAAATTTGTGGAAGTGTAAACGGACATTAAGAATCCTACAAAAAGGAGAAATAATTAGAAGCTAATTGAAAAAGGAAAAAAAAAGTTAAAAACCTAATTAAAAATCTAATTAAAAACTAGAATCTAATTAAAAACTTAATTAGGTCTTTTTAATTAGAGTTTTAATTTTTATTAGTTTTTAATTAGCCTCTGATTATTTCTTCTTTTTGTAGAGTTCCTATTGTCCGTTTACACGTCCAAATATTTTACATTTCTTACACGCATATATATATATTCATTGTTACATTCTTACCATTCGCTTGAAAATGACCGAAGTTTGGTCGAAACGTCGTGTTTTACCGTTGATTTTTATTATAAGATTTAGTAGATCGATTTATTTTAAAAATTGTAGTTGAAATCTTTAATTGAAGGTGTCGATGTATTTAGTTAGGAGAGTTTATCTATAATAAAGATTTAGAAAGTGAGAATCACTCTGTGATCATTCTGTTTGTCAAACTTCTCATTTAGCTTACGCCTGCAACTGACTTACTTTTCGTCCTCTGATAACATTGTATGCTTGTCGATCACTGAAGGACAAGACCGAAATGACATAGTCTGGGTTCTTGAGGCGTTAGACAGGACTTAAGGCAAAATTATTTATTCATTCACGAGTCTCATCGATTGGCCTCTAACTGAAAGAGATTCCACTGTGAAAACTTTCTTCAATTGTGTCAAATTGATCAGAAAGGTCTTCCGGGGAAAAATTCAAGCTCCCTTTTCAACCATTAAAAGCCACAAGACGTCCAAATGAGGTTTTAAAATTTTATAACCACCATTGGCGCAATCTTGTTAGCCCTAGATTTCCATCATGACAAAATCGAGTACCGTTTTTTCGTTAGTTGTTAACAAATTGAATATCTCAGCGACAGGTTTTAAGGCATTACTTTTTGAGGGTTTGAGGAGATACGTTGATTGCTGTTTCAATTTAAGATAAAACAAACAAGGCATTTTTGTGTAAAAATTTCCACGAAAGATATTTATGAACCTACAGGTTAACAAAGGCAAAAAATTGCAAAGGTCACTAGCATCAGAATCGAAGTCAATTGGTTATTCCATTAGACTGGGTGTTATAAGATGCCTTAAAATCTCTTCCCTGTTACCTGTAGGCATATCTTTTGTTCCAAGCAGTCCATTTTCGCTTTACCATGACAGCATGGGATATCAAGATAAATTGAGAGAAGTGAATCGTGAGATCCATTAAGATGCCATAAATTCCTAAGTGGTTTTTGTGAGGATGGCAGCTGACTTAGTCAAGATTAGGACGAAAAGATTTTGGGGTCAAAGGATTTTGGGGTCAAAGGATTTTGGGGTCAAAGGATTTTGGGGTCAAAGGATTTTGGGGTCAGAGGATTTTGGGGGATCATCTGGTTTTCAGGTGGAACGGAAGGGGGGGTCAGTCATCGCCAACAGAGTGTTGGACTGTTTAGGTTAACTAGCTTCAGCAACTCGCGTAAACGGAGGCACCAGAAGTCTGTTCAGGAGCTTCACTTATCTCTCTGAGACTCTGTCTCTCCTCTAATAGTTCAGACCTGGGTACATGCTCTCTATCGGTTGGCATCTTATGGGAAAGATGACCGTGGCAGAGTAAACATATTTTTAGAAAGCTCACCAAAACAATCTCACAAGACATTCGAAATAAACAACAAAGTACCTAATAACAACCTCCTTGATTTGGATACGTTGATTCCTTAATCTTGAGGTATTTAAGATTCAGAAGATATGTAAGACATGGTTTGATGCTACTCTGGTTTGCAGATTTAATGAATGTAACCGAAGAAGTTACAGTTCATAGACCCAACGTTTCGACACTCCTGTCTAGTGCCTTCATCAGGGGTGATCTAAACGCTGCAACAAGAGGTCCTTTTATATGATCACTAATTAGCAGTCTTTTTTCTGACGAGGTGTAAATAGGCGTCAGGAAGAAAACCGCCATCCTCACGATTTAGAGCAGCGTGGGCGGAGTTAATATGCCAAGCCTCCAAACAAAGGCGCTGGTGGTAACGCCGGTTAGTGGTGATAATTTTAGAATTATCCCACCCAATTGTATGGGTGGTTAGACATGTGTGCTCCGATAAAGCAGAATTTTCCTTTTTGCAAAAGCAAAAAGCGCTTTTTAATGCTCTTTTAAACGTGTACCAAACTGACGTTTGGTCTGCCCGATGTATTCGTGGTCACAGTCATTGCATGGAATAGAATAAATGGCGTCGTTTCGTTGTTCTTTCGTGACAGGATCCTTAGGTTTGGCGAAAATATGCCCCAAAGTTTGAAAAGGTTTTTGAGCGACTTTAACGTTGCGGCTATTCAAAATTCTCTTGATGGGTTCGGTAACAGCTTGAATGTAAGGAATGCAATGACTGTGACCACGAATACATCGGGCAGACCAAACGTCAGTTTGGTACACGTTTAAAAGAGCATCAAAAAGCGGTTTTCTTTTGCAAAAAGGAAAATTCTGCTTTATCGGAGCACACATGTCTAACCACCCATACAATTGGGTGGGATAATTCTAAAATTATCACCACTAACCGGCGTTACCACCAGCGCCTTTATTTGGAGGCTTGGCATATTAACTCCGCCCACGCTCCTCTAAATCGTGAGGATGGCGGTTTGCTTCCTGACGCCTATTTACACCTCGTCAGAAAAAAGACCGCAAATTAGTGATCATATAAAAGGACCTCTTGTTGCAGCGTTTAGATCACCCCTGATGAAGGCACTAGACAGGAGTGTCGAAACGTTGGGTCTATGAATTGCAACTTCTTCGGTTACATTCATTAAATCTGCAAACCAGAGTAGCATCAAACCATGTCTGATTGTCCACCTGGTTGCCGTGTGAACTTTAACATATTTTAAATATGTAAGAGTTTTTGTAACTAGTTGAAGTGAGGATATGGGGTTCAAGAGTTTCATATTTCGGATAAAAACATTAATTAGTGGCCTATTTGTCAGCTGAAAATGTTCGGTTGCTAATTTTTTCCGAGAAAAAGCTAAAATATTTATAAAAAATATTTCCCTAAAGGTATTTATTGACTAACAGGTTGACTTGGGCAAAAAATTTCCAAGGTCACCAGCAGTAGATTCAAAATCAACTGGTTATTCAACCAGACTGAGTGTCATAAGATACTTTAAAAGTTTTTCTCTATTTCCTATAGGTATTCACATCTTTTGTTTCAAGCAGTCCTTTTAGCTATTTTTTTTTTTCGATGACAATATTGGATGTCAAAAAAAAAAATTGAGACAAAGTGAACCATGAGATACCATGAATTACTCTGTGGGAATTGTGACGAGATAAATTATGTAATGTATTCTGTCACAAAAATCTTAAAGCTTATAAGAACACAACATAGTGGAGAGATCACACAGTTAAGCAGTCAAGATAACCCTAAACCGTTGTACCCCTTTGTGACGATACGGTGAAGATGAACTGAAGATGAAGCAGTCCTTTTAGCTATTTTTTCTACACGATGACAATATTGGATGTCAAAAAAAATAATTGAGACAAAGTGAACCATGAGATACCATGAATTACTCTGTGGGAATTGTGACGAGATAAATTATGTAATGTATTCTGTCACAAAAATCTTAAAGCTTATAAGAACACAACATAGTGGAGAGATCACACAGCTAAGCAGTCAAGATAACCCTAAACCGTTGTACCCCTTTGTGACGATACGGTGAAGATGAACTTTCTTGGTTTCGCTTTCCCCTTGGCGTTGCTTGTAGCAGTTCAGCTAACCACTTTAACATGGGCTGCAACGAATGTGACAAAAACTTCAGGAAAAGGTAAAAAAGTGACCCCGTTATGTCGAATCTCTTTAGCATACGCATACTGTATTCATTGGATTAAGCGTCGCTCCTGCATAAGCCATCTGAAACTGTAACTCAAACGCGAGCGGGCGTGCAAAGTTTGTCTAAGGCACCCTTGAAACTTATTTTACGGCGGAAATTTTTTTCTCAGTTTTAAACGCTGCAGTTCTTCAATAGACACACCTTTAAGAGCGGTAGTTACTTTTAAATTTTTGCAAACATAGAGCAAGCCTGTTCAAGCCTGTTCAACCCTGCGTGGGTTGTTTATTCGATTCCGATAGTAGATCTAAACGTAAACCTTCACATATTGATGTTTGATCGACAAATTTTGAACTATGTACTTCTAGAAAAAAATACACTTTGAGATACACTATCTATTACCTGCTGAAAACAATTTACAGTGGAACAAAAGAAATTGTGATGGACTTTAATTTTTATGTCACGGAAGTTTTTTCCTAGAGAAGTTTAGCAAGCAAATCTTTGCATCTTTAGTACAAGAAGAAAACTGAGATATTTAGTAAACACTCGATAGGCTTTGTTTCGTTTTTGTAGGATACTTTTGTTTCGAGTTTTCGTCTTTTTTCTTTTTTTAACTTTGTGAGGATGGCAGATGACCTAGCGAAAGTTAGATAAACGTTTGCTAAACTGCGGCAGGTTACGCTAGTCTTCAAAGAAGTTTACGCTGCAAGCCAGTCCTCCAAAATTCAAAGAAAAAGAGAGCCTCCTTCCTCAAACTCTACGGTCAGTTTTCAATTTTGGTCATCATGGCTGATGAAATGTGTTTCAAAGATTTTTTCAAATTTCTCATAACCGTAACAATACATCATTAATTCTAATTAATTAATTAGGGAGCAACCAACATTTATCACATGGGGGGAGGGAGCAAGGAAGGGTGGAAGAAGGATTTCTGGGGGCCAAAAGCTTCACATTTCAGATGGAAACATAGTACTTAGTGGCCTATTTGTCAGCTGAAAATATTCGGTTGCTAATGTTTTCCCGGGAGGAAGCTAAAAACATTTGTAAAAATATTTCCCTTAAGGTATTTATTAACTAACAAGTTGAGTCGGGCAAAAAATTTCCAAAGGTCACCAGAAATAGAGTCCAAATCAACTGGTTATTCAAGCAGACTGAGTGTATTAAGATACTTTAAATGCTCTACTCTATTTCCTGTAGGTATTCACATCTTTTGTTTCAAGCAGTCCTTTTGGCTTTGAAGATATATTTTTGCTATTCGATGACAACATTAGATGTCAAAAACAAATGGAGACAGAGTCAACCATGAGATTCATTAAGATGTCATGAATTCCTCTGTGGTAACTGAGGCGAAATAGGTTATGTAATGTATTCTATCACAAAAATCTAAAAAGCCGAGAAGAACATAACATAGTGAAGAGATCACAACAGCAGTCGAGATAAGCCTGGACAGTTGTACGCCTTTGTGACGATACGGTGAAGATGAACTTTCCTTGTTTCGCTTTCCCCTTGGCGTTGCTTGTAGCAGTTCAGCTCAACACTTTTACATGGGCTACAACGACTATGACAAAAACCTCAGGAAAAGGTAAAAAGGTGTTCCCTTTATTTCCAATCCCTTTCGCACACGCAAACCGTATTCATTGGATTAAGCGTTGCTCCCGAATAGGCGCTCTGGGACTGTAACTCAAACACTGGCTGGCGCTAGTTTGCCTGAGGCACCCTTGGAACTTATTTTACGCGGAAATTTTTTTCTGGGTTTCAAACGCTACAGTTCTTCAGTAGAAACATATTAAAGAGCGATAGTTACTTTTAAATTTTTACCAACATAGAGCAAGCCTATTCAAGCGGTGGGTTCTGTGTGGGTTGTTAATTCGATTCCGATAATAGATCTAGACGTAAACCTCCACATATTGATGTTTGATCGACATATTTTGAACTATGCATAGACAAAATTAAACTCTGAGAAACAGTTTCCTTTTTGCCAGGGGATAAATGACAAATTACCGGTTCATTGATTCGTATACGAAAACTCAATTGTTGTAGAGCTCATAGAGCTAACATGAAAATTACAAATTATCCTCTACTGCATTTCTTTCAAGAATGTTTCACGGAAAGACAGATATTCTTACTCGAGGTCTAATTTGTTCAGCAAAACAATTTTAAAAAACTGTTTTTCCGAAAAAAATTAAAATGAAAATTACAAATGATCCTAAACTGCATTTCTATGAAGAACCTTCTACAGAAAGACATGCAGATATTATTACTCGAGGTCTAATTTTGTTCAGCAAAACGATTGAAAAAAACGGATTTATCAAAGATTTAAATATTAACTTTTATCATTGCCCTTGAATGAGAATTGAATGGGGGAGTAACATACGGACCCCTGAGGAGGTAGTCGTCGTCTTCGTCCGAATGAAGAAGCTCTATGAAGGATAGACATATAGCATAATTTTGAGAAACGTGTGATAATGTGAATAAAAAGACAACCTTTTCTTGTGTCAAAGATTATGATGAGCAAGGAAAACACCTGGGTGAGCAACCACTACGTAGCACGGAAATAGAGTGCGATCTTGACTCGTTCTCGTTGCGTAATAGTAAACCAACCTATCCAGAGCTCGAGAAGCTAGGTGTCACCCGTCCCCTCTGCCAAGGCGAGTATTACGCCACTCTCTACAATAATGATTTGGGAATTGCAAGTTACTCACTCTACAAGATTACCGCCGCACAAGCCACGACACCCAAGAAACCAAGACCTAAAGGCTACCCATGGCGACGGAATCTGACGCCAGGTAAGGTAATTAGTGTTGTCGTTATAATTTACTTGTGTGATGAAGAAATTGAGGAAAAAAATTGATTCGTTTCCCATTCCACTACTACAACGTCCGTTCATTCGTGTTGTTTTGGTCTTTCACGCACTGTTTATGCGATCGATAAGATGCTGATAGATAGACAGATAGATAGGTGGGTAGATAGATAGATAGGTGGGTAGATAGATAGATAGATAGATAGATAGATAGATAGATATTACGTAGATATGATATATATTTACATTATGCATCATTATTCTATCAGGCCATTTTACCACATTAAGGCAACGGCAAACGCAAAACATGCGACGGTATTACGCTGCAGGTACAATGGAGCAAAAGTACGGATGGAAAGAGAAAAAAACTTGTGGGAAAAGTCATGCATGATGGTTTAACCATGTTATGCAAATCATTTCCTTGACTTAACTGAGATCTCTCACTTAAAACATTTCGTAACTGTGATCGGGAGGGTAACAACTATATTTACCGAGCGGATAAATCGAGAACAAAATTTCTTGGCTTGTGAGTGACATTAGTGTACTTTAAAATTCTTTCACGTTCAGGGATTCATCAAGGAAGCAATGCATTGTATCAGAGACAACCTACTCCGCGTAAATACGATAGAGGCCACCTCGTTCCTGTTAATATCTTACGTTACAGCGATGAAAGTGCTCGTGCCACTTTCACCTACACCAACTGCGTGCCGCAAATTAAAGGTTTCAACAGAGGTGTGTGGAAAAAGTACGAACAGAAAATAGACAAATACGCCCGGACAGTTTGTTCTCCGAACGGCGGAACCCTTTACCTAATCACTGGCACATCATCGGTTCAATTTGATGAGGAACTTGATAATCAAGGTGAAAAAAAAATTACCGCGTTGGTGAAACCTCAGCAGTTGTTCCATGACAACGTGGATGCAAAGAAGAAGGTCGCAATTCCAAACTCAATTTGGACGGTGGGCTGTTGTTTGAACTTGAATACCAATCAAGTCGTGGGAGCGTTTGGTGTAATTGGTGATAATTCTTTAGGCAAAAAGTCCTTAAATAAATTTATAATGCCCAGAGCAAAGGTCGGAGATGTTGAAGGGATCCTTAAATTAGAGTATCCAAAAATTGAGTTGTTTCCAAACGGCAAGGATTGCTATGAGAGAAAAAAAAACGTTCAATTGAAGTATGTGTAAGATCCTTGAAAGGAATCTGAGGGGCATCTTGCATGAAATAACCAGATTCAGATCAATACACAATTTTTATCATATCTCAATTAATACGTGCGCTATGATTGGTGAATAAAGCGGGCCGTATTTGACTGTACGCCTCGTTAAATTGAAAAGTTTATTTAGACTGAAATCTATCTCTACTATTTGAACCCGGAAAAATATCTTTGTTACTCGTTTTCCTCGGGCTGTGCTGTAAGTTACGAACTCGGTTGGGAAGAGGTGTTTAGAGCTTGCATTTTCATCCTTTGTGTTCAAAATATGCATGCTACTTTATCTGCTAAACAATATATATTGTAACGAAGAAGTGGAATCAACGAATTAATTAACTGTGATCTAAGAAATTAAACGAAATTTGAAGTTGTCCCAAACATTTTGTCAAAGATATTATATCTAACTGTATATCCTGGTATTTTCTTCCTAACTGGTTTCTTTTAGTAATTTCCCACCCCAGTTAAGAGGCTTCGTTCAAATTCGCAGGGAACCAAGCCACATAACTTTCTAGATTAGACCTCTCAATCATTTCGCCATTCGAATGAGACCAAATCCCTAAGAATATTTTAATCGAGAGGGAGACGAGACAAAATCACATATTCTAACTCACAGCAATCTTCAAATGAGTGCCTGAGCTTTATTACCCGTGATGAAATTCTTTTGCCTCATTGCACGCCGTGATTGGTTTATAAACTTGTGCGATTGTATCCTTCGAGTAGGCGAGCGGGCCCTCGATCATTATTGGCCCTGCGGCACGCGCGTTTTTCCGCCTACAAGAAGATTTGCGACCAGCCAGGAGAAATGTTTGCGGGAAGGGTATGGCACTTCTAATGAGCCTAGACCCACTTGCCTCGCTAGTTCTATTTGTTTGTTTGTTTGTTTTTTTTCATCACAGCCTCATGCTTACTTTATCATGAGCGAAGAAACGCCCGTGGAGAAGTGCTGATATTGACGGCCCACTCGCAAGCTTTTGCCAATCAATCAACCAATCAGAGGAAGGACTAAACTCAAATCGCGACTTGATTATCCGTGTTTTCAAGTCTCTAATCGTGGCGATTACTTTCAGTTCACATAAAGCTTGTAATGTTTACACCCTCTAATGTTGACTTCGTTCCATTTGGGAAATTACTTTAGTCTTGGTCTTATGTCACTTGATCAAAAAGCGCTCAAATTCGATTGTGTGATTCCAACTGCGAATAAAACATCGTAATGAAATGCAGTACGAAAAATAAACTAATCAGGGTTAAAATCGAATCTTTAGTAGGGAGACATCTGGGAACCATTTCGGAGAGTATTCTCACTGAAGGAAAGCTAAGTCTAATGCGAATTGATTTATTTAAAGGTTGAGAAAAAGATCAAACAAGGATGGTGGCGTGGACCAAGTGTGTGCTTACAGGAACTTGGAACAGTAATGATAACAATAATAATAATAATATAGATTTAATCCTATTCTTCCCAAGGGACCTAGTTCGCTTGATTGCAAGGCCGTAGCTCCTGACGAATATGGAAGGGTCTTTCCGAGTTGGCAGTAACTCCTGATTATAACTCTTTAGTAAAGTTTTGGAGAATGTCCGTCAAAGAGCCTCGACTTCCACACCTTTTTGCTCATAGTTATCCAAATTAAGGAATATTTTCAGGCTTTTGATCTTTTTTTCTCCATCTAATTTTCTCAACGAAACTCAAATCACTACCGACACTTGGAATGAAAGAAAAATTGAGAGAAGGTGAACCACTAAGATGCCATGAATTCCTCGGTGGTTTTTGTGAGGATGGCAGATGACTTAGTCAAGATAAGGACGAAAAGGTTTTGGGAGATCATCTGATTTTGAGATGGAACGGGAGGGGGTTAAGTTATCGCCAACAGAGTGTTGGATTTTTTAGGTTAAATAGCTTGAGCAACTCGCGCAAACGGAGGCACCAGAGGTCTGTTCAGGAGCTTCATTTGACTCTCTGAGACTCTGTCTCTCTTCTGCTAATTCAGCCCTAAGCACATGCTCTTCAACACCCTATCGGTAGGCATGTTTGGGCTTATGGGGCAGATAACCGTGGCAGATTAAACATATTTTTAGAACGCTCACCAAAACAATCTCACAAGACATTCGAAATGAACAACAAAGTACCTAACAACAAACTCCTTGATTCGGATGCGTTGATTCCTTAATCTTGAGGTATTTAAGATTCAGGAAGTATGTAAGAGTTTTTGTAAGTAGTTGGAGTGAAGATATAGTGTTCAAGAGCTCCATATTTCGGATGAAAGTGGTAAATGTTCGGTTGCTAGTGTTTTCCTGAGGAGAAGCTTAAACAGTTGTAAAAAAACTTTCCCTTAAAGTTATTTATTAATTAACAGGTTGACTAAGGCAAAAAAATTGCTAAGATCACCAGCATTAGAGTCTTGAGTCTAGAGTTTGGTTATTCAATCAGACTGAGTGTCATAAGATACTTTAAAAGCTCTTCTCTAATACCTGTTTTCACATCTTTTGTTTCAAGCAGTCCTTTTAGCTTTGAAGAAAGACTTTTTCTACACGATGACAACATTGGATGTCAAAAAAAATTGAAAGAAAGTGAACCATGAGATCCTTTAAGATGTCTTGATTTCCTCTGAGTTAACTGTGACGAGATACTGTCTTCTATCACAAAAATCTTAAAAGCCAAGAAGAGCATAACATAGTGACGAGATCACAACAGCTAAGCAGTCAAGATAAGCCTGGACGGTCAAACCCCTTTGTGTCGATACAGTGAAGATGAACTTTCTTGGTTTCGCTTTCCCTCTGGCGTTGCTTGTAGCAGTTCAGCTGACCACTTTTACATGGGCTACAACGAATGTGACAAAAACTTCAGGTAAAGGTAAAAAGGGTTCCCTTAATATCCAATCCCTTTGGCACACGCAAACTGTATCCATTGGATTAAGCGTTGCTCCCGATTTAGCCATATGAGACTGTAACTCAAACGCGAGCGGGCGTGCAATGTTTGTCAAAGGCACTCTAGAAACTTATTTTGCGGCGAAGATTTTTTTCCTCAGTTTAAAACGCTACAGTTCTTCAGTAGACACACCTTTGAGGGTGGTAGTGACTTTAAAATCTTTGCAAACATAGAGCAAACCTGTTCAAGCGGTGGATTCTGTGTGGGTTGTTAATTCGATTCCGATTATAGATCTAAACGTAAACCTCCACATATTTATTTTTGATCGACAAATTTTGAACCATTTACTTCTAGACAAAATTAAACTTTGAGTGACACTATCTGTTACCTGCTGAAAACAATTTATAGTGGAATAAAGAACTTATGATTTACTATAATTTTAATTTGACGGAAGTTTTTTCTCAGAGAAATTTATTAATTACAAGCAAATCACTGCGTCTTTAGGATAAGAAGAAAACTTAGATATTTGGTGTACGCTCGATACAGTGCGTGTTGCTTAATTAAATCCCGAGTAAAATCTCTCGTAAACAATTAGTGTTTCTAATTGGTTAAGAGTTTTAAACCTTTATAACGTATGTTTTAAACAATTTATGTACCCAAAACTTTATAAAGGCTTTCGCGTAAAAGCTTTATCCAGTTCTTTTGTTTAGTCCATACGGCTGAATGGAATTTAATGTTCTTTGCCAGAAAATCTCTCTTTCTCTAAGGACTTCTTTCTTTTTGTCAGTCTCTAAATGATCTTTTCTGATTTGCTCTATAATGGTTATGTTAAAATTATTGTCAAAGTCGTGAGTTCGTTTGTTATGTAAAAAGGGTTCAATGAGTTCGCTACTCACTCCCTTTTTAATATGGTTTCTATGGTTGTTTAACCGTAGGTTAAATGCCGTTTCGCTTTTGTCAATGTATTGAAGTTTGCAAATGTTGCACTCGATTATGTAAATGATCCATGACGATTGGCAGTCCACTGTATGAAATATGGTAAAGGTCTTGTTGTTATTGGGACTGGTGAAAGTTGTGGTCTGGTTGATCTTTTTACACCAACTACACTTCGTTCTTTCACATGCTCTACATCCCTTTGGTATAAAATTTTGAGGTGTTTCATTTACAAATCTTGAACGCACAAGTCTGTCTCGTAGACTTTTCGGTCGTCGGTAGGCGACTAAAGGTAGCTTGTTGAAAATGAGTGATGATCTTTCTTTTGATTGGAGAAAGTTTCGATTTCGTTTGGCAATTTCTGCAATAAATGTGGTATGGGGGTTGAATGTAGTAACCAGAGGAATTCGGTCTGTTGGTTCACGTTCTTTGGTCTGTAAACATTCCTCTTGAGTCAATGTTAGCACTTTCTGCATTTCGTGGAGAATTTTGCGTTGTGCATAACCACACGCTACAAACAAATCCGAATATTCCAGGATTCGTTTCTTCAATGTGTCTGTTGAAGAGCATATTCGCCTCAACCGCAAGGCTTGACTGTATGGGATGCTCCGTTTCAGATGAGGTGGATGTGATGATGTCCAATGGAGGTATGGATGAGTATCAGTTGGCTTCTGATAAACATCTGTACTAATGTTGCCTTGATTATCCTTTAGAGCGGTCGTATCAAGGAAATTCACTGAATGTGCAGAGATTTCGTGTGTAAACTTGATTGAGGGTGCTACACTGTTAAGGTAATTTATGAAATTAATCAAAGAGTCTTGATCACTTTTCCAGATAAGGAATATATCATCTATAAAGCGTACCCAGAGTATAATATGGTTTACCCACTCTGCTTGGTACACGAATTTTTCTTCAAGTCTTCCCATGCATACGTTTGCAAAGTTGGGTGCGACTCTGGTTCCCATGGCTGTTCCTTTGATTTGGATGTAATGTTCATTGCCAAAGGTAAAATTGTGAGAACCTTCTCGAGGAGACACGATAATGTTTTCGGTGATGGCTTATTCTGGTTCGTTTTGCCTAACTCTTCCTCCACAATAGTGAGTCCTTCGTCTGTGTCTATATTCGTATATAGGCTTGATACGTCCAGTGTTGCTAAGTAACACTTTTCGGGTAACTTGCCC